GGGAGGGGCTTGAGGGCATTCAGTGGGGAGGGGCTTGAGGGCATTCAGTGGGGAGGGGCTTGAGGCGTGCCCATAACCTTGGGTGGAGGACAGAGACAACCAGAGCAGACATGTCATGGGGGGACTGTGGCAGTTCAGTGGGATGGAGTTTGGATCGTGCCCAGATCCTGAAGGGAGGTGAAGAGGAGAGCAGGGAGGAATCAGTGAGGAAGTGTCCTTGGAAGGCTGGGGTTGTGTGGAGGTAGTGATTTGCCGCATTTCAGTTGGGAGAGGAGGAGTTTGGGGGCCATTTCACTATTCTTCTTATAGCAACACAAAGTTTTCAAAAAGAAAAACAGTATACTTGCTAAGAAAACTGCAAAGGTATCAAGCACAAAGAAGAAAATTAAATATGCCCACCATGGACCAGCATTAACAGTGAATGGTCAAAGGCAGCTAGATGTTGTAAGCCAGGCTCTGTGCTGACTCTCGATCATCCACCGCCTCTTTCCAACCACATCATGAGCTGCGAAAAAGGCATAATGAGTCGAGCACTACTGCCAAAAGGAACCAAGTTACTTAACTAATTTCTCGAGACCTGGGATTTGAACCCATAGTTTTCAGCCACCAAGTACCAGGCTTACGTGTAGAGGGTTTGAATGAAGAGAGGTCAGTGCAGAGTGAAACCAAAACATCATAAGCACAGGATTTTTATCTGCTCTGTTCAGTGCTGTGCCCGCACAGCTAGAGAACACCTACCAGGTAAGATGTGTCTTTAGTACAGGAATAAGTAAATCTGTGCCACTGTGGAGTGTAGACTTGTCAGCAAAAAGATAGCACATAAACCTAAAGACCTCACATGGTTTAATGCTTTCTTCACACACCTTCACAGCACATCCCTTCATTGATTTCCTACAACCACTATGCAAAGTTGCTCCTGTATTTCCTCATATTCAAAATGAGGATGGAAAGGTAAGGTTACCTGCCATGGTGCTGGAAAGGTAAGGTTACCTGCCATGATCACGCAGGTGGTCAGCGATAATGTCGGAGCCAGAATGAGGTCTGCACAGTATGGTGGAAGGAAACTAAGGTCTGTCAGTTCTAGTTCAAGTTCTGGGACTAATACGCCTGGATCACGGGCATTTTTGAAATGAGGATTCAGAGGATGGACATGGCCTTCCAATATTTCAAATCAAGAAAGGCTTCCCACGCTCTCATGGGTTCATGGTTACTTAATTAGCTTCATCGTCTTGGTCCCCAGAAGACCTCTTCCAACCCAGGTTTCTTTGTTACATGGATATATTATGGGATGGGATATGAATTCCCAGGATGGGTAGTTGTTTTATTTTATGTCCTCAATGCTTTTGAGACATGAGGAGGAAATCTTATAGGTACAGATGAAAGACAGAGCACCTAGCCCAGGGCCTGGTACACAGTAGGGACCTACCAGACCCCAAGACCTCCATTCCTCCCACTCTCTCCCACAAGAAGCCTATTCTGACTGTTCCAGCCCACACCTCTCCACCAGGATTTCATCACTTATGTTCAGTCTACCTGTTTATTCCTTGGCATGAATATGCATCACTTCCCACCTGCCCCGGAGGCCACACTCTCCCTAGAGAGATGGTATCATACGTTTCACCCCAGGAGGCCCACATCCTCTCTGGCCCTCAATCCCATCGAGCCAGCACTAAGCTCTGACCCCTCAGAAACACCAGAAGAACTGACATGATAGAGTTGGAGTGAGACCACACAGAATAGAATGGGGACATAGAAAGCTGAAAGGGAGAGGAAAGATATACCAATACCAAACTTAGGAACAGAAAGGAATAAAGATAAAAAACAAAGCTTCAGAGAGCTGTAGGACAATATCAAAAGGCATCATAGAAGGAAAATAGAGAATAAGACAAAAAAGTAAAGAAATAGCCAAACTAACCAAATTTGGTAAAGGAAACAAATATACAGATTCAAGAAGCTGAGTGAACCCCAAGCAGAATAAACACAAAGAAAACCACACGTGAGAGTCAAACTGTTGAAAACCAAAGAAAGAAAATCTTGAAAGCAGCCAGAGAGAAACAATGCATCACATACAAGGAAACAACTATTTGAGGACTGCTTACTTCCAGTCATAACCAATGGAGGCCAGGAAACAGTGGAATAACATCTTTAAAGAGCTTTTTAAAAAGTCTGTTAACCCAGAATTATCTATCTAGAGAAAATATCCTTTAAGAATGAAGGCAAAATACATTTTCATATTAAAGGAAATTTGCTACCAGCTGATCTGTGCAGCACGACTACTAAAGGAAATTCTTCTGCCTGGAGGGAAAAGATACCAGATGGAGACTTAGGTCTTCAGGAAAGAACGAAACACATCTTGGTAAACAAGTGGGTTTATATTTATACACAATGCAGGGATGGAAATCCCACTACATCCCCATATAGCTCACCTGTGCAGCTGATACAAAAGCCAGGTGGATGCTGAAGAACAGTAGACTGTTGGAAACTTAAGGTAGTAATATTAGCTAACAGGTTCTAATGTGATATGTTTACTGGAGGAAAACAATACAGCATTTTGGGGGTCAGAAACTGCACCCCAGGTGCCAGGGCCCTCCCCAAACCCCATTGCTGTCAGTGAAAATGACTAGAAGCCATTTTCTTCACGTGGTAGGGAGAGCACTACACTTGTATAGCCTGTCTCAGAGCTACATCAACTTTCCCGCAATCTGCCACACTCCAGAATGAAAGCCCTTGGTCATGTGATACCTCACAGTACATCTCACTGGTCCATTACAGTGAGGACATTCCTTAGCAAGACACGTTCACAAGGCAGTGTGCAAGAGGACACCACCAAAGTTAAGGGTCTTCCACGTGAATAAATTTCCTGGTGGTCTGGCCACAGGACTATTCCCACTCCAGTGAGAGACAAGTTGCAGACCTTGCAACAGCTTCCAGGAAAAAGCAGGCCATGCAGGATATCTTCAGTTTTCCCATCCAGACACACCCTTTTCCACCTGCTCTCTACCTAGGAAGCTAGCCTATACAAGCCACAGCAAGTGGTCCTTGGTCCTCTGGTTTCCCATTCAGCTCATTCAATGGACAGCCAGCCCCAGGAGGAGGCCAGAGGAAGGGAGAATAGCTGAGGGTCTCGGTAACGAGCTGTACCTTCCAGCGGGTTCACAGCACAGAGCCAGTCTCTACAAGTTCCGGGAACTATCTCCCAGGCATCCTACCAGCTCTGCATTGTTGCTGGTCCCAGGGCACTGCACCCTCCCTTCTTGCTTTCCTTCACCCTGCCCACACGTTCCAGGAGGCTTTATAAAGAACCCATTAAGTAACTGCTTAAACTGAGGGAGCTGCTTCCTGCAAAGACCCTGACTGATAAACCGCATGTATTCTCAGCTCATAGTATCTGCTGGTGCAATACTGTGCACCCTCGTGCAGAGAGGTCTACACGTGCCAAGTCCGCATATAATACATTCATCAAGTAGCTGCGTGGAACCCCGAGACACAGCACCCATGGGTCCCTCGTACAGGACACGTGGCATTCAGTGGAACTTCGTGGACAAAACATGTGTCAGGTAGAGTAACTGGACCCGTGCATGGGACACAGAGGCACAAGACACACACACAGCTTCCTTCTGCTGCCTCTAGCCAGACCCAGAGCTCCAAGGAGGGCAAAGCCCTCTCCTGACTCACCTCGGCGGACACCAGAGCCTGGCCCAGAGGAAGCACTTGGAAGTTAGAGGGATGCATTGCAGCGTAAATGATGTCTATCTTCCTGGGCCTGCCTGGAAGCTCGACCCCTCCCCTAGCCCACCACCCACCCTGGTGTGGCTGGGACAGCTTCGCCCAAGACGCTGCAGTATCCAGCCTGGTGCTCATGGCCCCCTTAATATATGCATTGCGTCTCTGATCTGTCCTGGGAGAGGCTGTGTGGAGAAGAGACCTGCATCTCTCAGCTGGC